AGGCTTGGAAACTAAAGGCTCAGACACACAGGCAGAGAGGAGCTGCTCCTTGGGGTTGCTTAAACCCCTTCCAAAGCAACAGGAGCTAGCAAGGAGAGGCCAGCGTTACCCTGGATTAACTCAGAGCAGGGCCATCGAGGCGGATTTCAACCCACCTCTCGGCTCCTTGCAACCGGGCTCTCCCGTATAGACGAACCCTGCGCATTGCGGAGGTGCCATCAGGATGTCACCCAGGTCTCCAGAGCAGGGAGTGAGTCTCCGCCTGGCCGAGAACAGCCGCAAGCAAGCCCCACAGATAAATACATTTCAAAATGTAGCATCTTGCTGGGAAAACTCAATGCCTGACCCCAGAAAACAACAATCACGTCCACTAGCATTGGAGCTGGAACCATTCTCAATGGGGGTGACAGACCCTGGGGTGCCTCGAGAGCCTTTCAAGGGTGCCCCACCTTGCTAGCGCCGCATCCAGGTTAAATCTCTCTCCGCTTCCCCCTTCCTATCACCCAGCTCTTCTCCCTCCCCTCCGCTGGGTCCTACAGGACACGTCAGATTACAAAACACGGCTGCTACTCAGCAGTAGCTCAGCTCCATCAAAGCAAAGAGGGGTGCCAGCCAGAGAAATATTAATGGGATTAAAGCTGCTATAAATAAAGGAGCCATCCCAGAGGCTCCAGCCTCTGCCCCATGCAGGTTTGACCACGACTTAGAAATCAGAGTGCAGCTGGGCCTGATCGAGGCAGGAGGAAAATACCGATAGCCAAGGTTGGGTTAAAAAAAAAATAGGAAGCAAAGCAGCTCATTAGGCAGCAATGAAGCAGCCAGGCAGAGCACCCTGCAGGTACCCGCCAGCCGGGGGGGGAGAGGGATCTCTCCAGCTCCTCGAAAGCCCCTTGCTCTGCAAGCAGGAGGCGGAGGGGTCCTTTTTCCAGGCTGCAGCAGGTCCCTCGTGGCACAGCCAGGGGTGAGGGTTTCACAACCAGGTGGCTGCAAACAAAACTACCAGTGGGGACATCCCCGTCAGGCCACATCAGCTGCGACTCGCTGGAGGAAGGGTCCTTACAAGAAGATGCTGAAGACCGCCTGGATGTAAGCCTCAAAGTCCCATCCTCTGTTCCCCCAGAAGGCTGCAGGGCTGGGCGGGGACGGCATCCTGTATTAACCGATCTGATACGGGCTGGCTGCAGGTAGCAGATTCTTGGGCGATTGCTCCTAAAACACCCTCCCCAAGATGCTCTCCATGCTCCCTGCATCAAGAGGGATTTCTACAGACGTCACTGAAATGGCGAAACACGGCAGCTGATCAACGCCAAAGCGGGGGAGCGGGGAGAGCAGCTTGCAGCACCCGAGGCCAAGCCACCTTTGTCCTGCTGTAGAGATGCAAACAGCCCCCAGCTCCCCCACAAAAGGGCCAGATCTGCAGTGCCCAGGTGGGGTCTGGGGCTGCGGTCAACGCTGCACCTTGAACCATACCCGAGCAACGACCCCTGCGAAGGACAAGGGCCCCCAGCCACGAAGCCCAGTGTTCACCCCCACCTCGGGGCCTATCATCCCCGATAGCTGCCGCGTTCCACCCCAGACTCAGCCCGTCCATCATCCTGGTCCCCGGTGGAGTGGGCAGGCGAGGGAGCCCCGTTTCACTGAAGCAAGAGAGGGAGCAATTAAATCTGGGTGAGGTTTCAGCTATCGCAAGCCACCGCCCAAGGCAGGGACTCTCTCATGGCCAACTTTGGCTCAGTGGGTTTGTCTGAAAACCAACTGCAAGGGGTTGGGGGGGGGTGTTGCAGGAGTGACTGCACTGGAGGGTCTGGGTGAGATGGGTTGGGAAGGGTGGGGGGCTTGTTAGAGGCTGCCCCCGGGGCACAGATGAAACCCTCCAGCAATGCCCCGCTGGTCCCAGGGCAGGGCTCTGCACCCATCCTGAGATCTCCAGCTTCTCTTGCCAGCCCTGAAGGGGTTAAGTGTGGAGGGGGCAGTGACCCCCGTGCTGGATGGCGACCTGGGGACCATCCTCTGCTCTGCCACAGACTCAGTGTGTGACCTTGGGGGGGGGGGGGGGTCACTTCACCTCTCCCTATCCTTCCCCCTGCACTGCAGCCACAGGGACAAGGACCCGTGTCCCGACTCCTGGCATTAAGATACCCAAGTCTGAGGGGCTGGGGGGAAGCAGGTCAGAAAGCCGCCTCGCCGACACAGCTGCAGAAAGGACCGTGCCCTCTCTCTGAGCCCGGCCAACCCAGGGCGGGGAGCTGGCAAATGAGAGGCGGAAAGACGTTTTAATTACAGATCACAGCGGCATAAACACGAGCTAAGAGGCTTAGCAGAATCCAATCTCCAGCAGCACTAAATTGAAAACAAGCTGGCAGCATAATTAGAGTCACTCCCACAGCTCAGGCAGGCGGCATGCACTCGCCACATCCCGGCCCAGCGAGACCTCCTGAGATCCTAGGAGGTGGCACGGCAGCCGCCGCAGCGCGCGAGGAAGTGGCGGCTACTTGAGCCACCAGGCACAGACTTGAGTTTCTGACCTCGGCCCTGATCCCTGGTGAGCTGCTGGCAGTCAGAGGCACCAGGGTGCAAAGACCTCGCATCGTCTCCTGACCCCGGATCCAAGTGGGCTCAAGGTCAGGGCTGAGCCTTTGTGGGTCCAGCGCTGGAGGTGTTTGCCTGGCCCGGTGTCCATCTGCCTTGTGCCCCTTGGGTACAGGGCTCTTCTGGGCACACGGCAGAGCAAGCTGGGATGGCACACAGACAGCATCTCCCGCGCCCACATTGCAATATCACCACTGCCAGCAGTGGCAAAGGTCTAAAAAGCAACAGGGGAGGGAAGCAGCCACTGATCTCATGCGCCCGTTGGACCCAGAGCTTTGCAGAGACCGGGGCGTGCCCCCAGCTATCCCTTCCCCACTTGTGCATTGCCGCGGCAGCCCCAAGCTGTGGGCATTTGCCTGGGAGAGCATCACGCACACCAGGCAGGTTTCTGTAGCATCCAGCCCCGTCTTCCCGACACCTGGTGCGGAGAGGGGGCCCCGGCTGTGTGGCATTGCTGACAAAATGCTACGTCCATTGACAGCGACATAGCCCTTCTCCCCCGCTTCAGGCAAGGGCTCCTCCTCCACCAAGGCCTCTCCGAGAGCTGGTACCAGAGCAGATGCCCTCACACTTATCAATGAGTCGGAGAAGGCCAAGCGAGACCCCAGGGTCGGGCCAGATGACTCCCGAGGCTCCTTCCAGCTCCAGACAGGAGCTGAGTGTGTCACGGAGGAAATTTTGAGCGATTTCCTTCCTCCTCAGGTAGCAGCTCCCCCTGCCAGAGCTCAGGTGCTCCATGGGGCAGTTGCCTGGAGGCCTCTGGATCTCAACCTGGATCCTGCAAAGGGAGGTAACAATGATACCAAGGGAAAGGAAACTCTGGGCTTCCCACACGCAAGCAGCCATGCCAATGCCCCTCAGTCCCACCTCACTGCCCCGTCTGCTGGCGCTAGAGCTCAGTGCCCCCTGCCCTCGCAGGTCCCAACTCCCAGCCACCCTCCTCCGTCCTGGCCTGCAGCTCCCCTCTGGCATCGCTCTCAAATCACTAGCAGTCCCCAAAAGCTCAAGGCCAAATTAAACATCAGTTAAGCACCGCAACATGCGTCAGCTCCCCAAGGACACCATACTCGCCATCACCATGGCACTAAGTCCGAGGCGGAAACCTCTTGCAGGCTGGCAAAGTCCATCCTGGTTCTTCTCATCGTGCCCAGGTGAGAGGCATCGGCAGGGACCAAGAGGTGGCCGGAGACGCATCTGTCCCAACATGAGCACGCAGGATCTGTTCTCTCTTCCCAACCCCGACGGGGGCTGGTGGGGTTGAGTCAGTGACCTAAAAGACCGGAGGCTGTCTCCGTCTTTGTCTTTCCTCAGGGCTATATTTACCCCGGCTAGAACAGCAGATCCCAGACGCTCAAACAACCGATGAACGAAGGGAGGGTTTTCAGCTCCCAGATGTGCAAGGGACGGGTGGCTTCACAGCAGAGGAGGAACACAAACTGCAGGAATGGAGGGACGGGGAGCTGAAAACCAGGTGCGCGATGGATGGGCTTCTTCCCAATCAGGACCACATCAGCCGCCGTTTCGGTCGTGTTTCAAGCAGCTTGAAACTGCCTCCATTTAGAGGCGGGGAGCTGGAGACTGAAAGAGGAGGAAAGTTCAGGGGCTGAGAGCAGCTTTTTCTACTGCCCTGACGCAGCCCGTTGCTGGGCCTGCAGCCAGCCCCAGGGAGCAGATCCTCTCTCTGACTGCAGTCCCTGACCGTCTTCCAGTCTGGAGTCCCAACAAGTTTGACCATTTGACCAGCACGTTCTCTTGCTAGTTGGAGTCTCTCCCCACCTCGGTGCAACCCAATACAGGGAAACTTGCTCCTCTGAAAGTCTGCCATGCCCAGCTGTTCTGCCCTAAAACCTCCCACTGTCACCAGCACCGGTACAGCTCTCCCCTTGGAAGCACTCATGACAATGGGCTGGTGCATTTGAATCATGGGGTCTTCTTCCCCCCACCCAGGACCCTAAACCCCTTCTGCCCTGTTCTAACCAGCACCGCCGACAGAGGCTGGGATGGTGGGTGCCTACGCTGTGGTACAGGGCAGCTGGCACTGCATTTCTTTTCCAATTCATTGGCTGGGGGAAAAAATACCCTCTTAGATAAGCCCAGATTCAAAAGAAAGCATCAATTCTTCCCCACGAAAGAAGAAATTGGAAAATAAAATTATCTAGGATTGAATGAAAGGATTTGTTCACCCCGAAACTAGCAGCTTGGTCTCTTTTGAAGGCTTTGTTGAAGCTTTTTTCACGACACAAGTGAAGCTGAGATCGACAGGAAACGCTGTCGGCAAAAACCATCGTTCCGAAACATTGTTTCAGTGACACGATGTTTTCAATTTTTTTAGGGCGTTTTTTCCCCTATTGCTTCACCCAAGATCCTGGGCACAATTTCATAAAACATCATCTCGGTCAAGCCAAATCTGCATTTTTAATTTAAGTGGGGGGGACGGAACGTAGTATTGGCCTCACAAATCTAAATAAAAATCTAACCCCCGTCTGCTATCTATGCTCTCTCTCATACGTGTGCTGCCCAGATGTAGCACGGGCAACTGAAGGCATGCAGAGATCTCAGGAATGGTACGTGTTGGGTTAGATGGCATTTAATACCTGGATTTGGAACAGGCAGAGTCGGGGCCATTCACATCTTCCTTGGGAAGATGGAGGACTAGAAGCTTACTTCAAAAAAGAAAGCAAAAAGATCCCCAGGCTGCAGGCACTGCAGCCTTGAGAATCAGCCCCAGACCCAGCATAAAACTGCAGAAGTTGCCAGCATTAGTGTCTGCACAAATGCTTTTATGCAGAAGATAAAAACCTCCCCTTATCCCCCTTCTTTCCCCTACACCATTTACCCCCATGCAAGTCAGAGTCTCTTTATAGCTTCCTGCCGGGTCAGGGCTTTCATCACCACCACCGTTACATACGTTGCTGCCGCACATGGGAAACCGTGAGACTTTCTGTGCCTTCTGCACAGATAAAGCTCTGAGGATTTCCATAATAAACAAATACGGAGCAGAGCTCCCAGTCCCTCAGGCTTGTTCCTCTGGGGAAGGAAATGTTGATTCAGACAAGCAGAGCCGAGCCAATTCAGTGCTCATTTACTGCCCTCTCTCAGATCAAAGGCCCTTGTGTCCTTAAAACCTGATATTCTTCTGCTGTTCCAGGTCTCGGCCAATTTAGGAAGCATGAAGTTGTAATGTTGCATCTCGTTAAGGGACCTGCATGCCCCATTTGTGGTGCTCACTGTGTTCTAGGTGGTGTCATCCTCCTGAAGCTGGTTCAGACACCAGAATACATCACTAGGCCTGCTCTGTTTGTACATGGTTAGCTATTAAGCGGAAAAAGACAGATTAAACGGCCCTGCTGAGCCTCCTCTTGTAATGGTGCAACGATCAGATGCAGAAGATGCATGAAAAATTGAACAGCAAAGACTCAAGACACAGCAGTGAATTGCTTAGGGCAGGAGCTGGAGACTCTCTAGCTTTGGGCTGGGATGGCCAGCTCTTTTGGGCAGGGGCTGCTTTTGCTGTCCGCTTCGAGCTCAGCGCAGCCCTGGGTCTGTGACGGGGACCTCCTAGACAACACGCAGAGCTCACGATAACGTAGCAGTGTAACCATTAGAGAAGAACAGCATGCAAATAAGGAAATGGGATCCCTCGACAGTGTAGGAGTCAGGAGGAGGAATTACAACGAGTAGCACAGCATTGCCTCCCCAGGGAGCTGACACGTCGCATTATTTGTTGCCATACAGTAAAACGCATTGCACAGCTCGGGGTCTCAAAGGGCTTCCAAGAAGGCTCAGCGCAAGGGGCCAAGACTTCAGAGTAACCCCAACTCTGGCAGGGGCTGAGGGTTTTCATGAATGTGCACAACCAGAACTGTGGTCACTTATCACCCTGAAGATAGTGGCTCCAGGGGAACGGCACTGACACAAGGAGGTAAGGGACCCTCACCATTTTTGGGCTGCTGTTTATTGAAAAGCAAAAACTTGCGTCTTTTGAGGGCACATAACCACAAGAGAGGAGAGAACAACTTGGAGGGAAAAACCTTTTTATTCCAATTCAAAGAGAGAGGTTGGGAATTGTAATAAATAGGTTGAAACGTACTTGAATCTTGCATTTCCCTCCAGCAGATACTATGCAAACAGTAAATCAGCCATAACTCCATCCTCACAATATGCATTCAAAATGCACAGAGACATAGGGATTCCTGTAGGTCTTACTGAGTGGAAACCCCCAGAGCTGCAAACATCAGCAACAAGATTTTCAAAGGAGATGGGAGGAGTTTGTCCCAGTTGAGATGCTCCAGATTTCCAGGGGGGCAGGTGCTCAGAGCATCCTGGAAACCAAGGCCCATTTCCAGGGGTCAGATGGTTCCCCAGCCTGTTAAGGGGTATTTATATCCAAAAGCTTGCAAGGAAGAAATTTTCCAACTATTTGAGTTGGTCTAATAAAAGCCATCAGGTTTACCCAAAAAACCTTTAAACCAACACAGCTACAACCTGCACCCAACAAAAACTGGAGGCACTTAAAATCATTTAGATGTTTTTGCAAGTCTGGTGCCAGGGCTGCACTGTTCAGGGATTTCAACGCTGCTGACTCTAAGACAGCATCGCACACCCACGCCACACAGAAAATGAGTTAGACCTTCTATTTCTGTGCGGGGGCCAATTTATACAGGCTCATTAACAAGATGTGTTATAAAAGGAGAGAGCTACAGAGAGAGAAGGAGCAAGTCAAACAATACAGCCCGCGATGCCAAGCATACCAATAAAAACCCTCAAGTTTCAAAACTTCTCAGAGGCAAGGATTTCTTGCCTAGGTGAGAAAGACCCTCTTCCCTTTTGATCTCCCAGTAAACAGCTTCCTTTCTTCTAATTGCTTCCCTGCTACTCCTGGGAATTTCTCACCCTCCTCTTACCACTGTGTTTTAACCCTGCTGTATCGGCTCTCCCTGCTCAGACTTCTCTTGCATTCAAAACCCCTTATCCCAACTAAGCAGTGCATCCAGTAAGAGATATTGCCCCAAGACATCCGTGTCTCTCATGCAATTCCTGGACCATCACATGAACCCTACCAGAACTTCTGCACCAGTTTTCATCGCACAAGGCTGAGTGTCTTTGTCCTTCCCTGAGCCCAGTAAAATCCATTAAAAACAAAGCAAAACAAAGTTTGATGCTTGTCAAAATGATCTACATGCAACATTTCTGGCTGGAACACACTGGGAAATGTTTGGTTTTTGTTTTTTTAAGTGGTTGAAGCAAACTTTCAAAACAACTGTCCTCCTGGGTGGGCGGCCAGCCGGGAAAATGTCAATTACAAGAGAATTTGTATGAGAAACTAATGAACTAAGAGGGGAACACAGAAGAGGGAACTCAAGCTTCAAGCGTGCCCTATTTGTGTCTGCTGCAACATGCACTTGCTTTTCACTTCTGCTAGTGAAGTGCTGAGTTTATCGCTTCCACGACTCAAAAGCAGCAGCAGAATAGAGCGACTGCCTTGTTACCTCCAGATCAAACACCCTGCAGCAACCTAGTGATGAAGATTGGATTTTTTTTTTTGCCCAGGGCTGATCATTAAAATCCAGGCTCCCAGATGATCACGGACACTCAGCGAGGAACATGATGCCAGCACCAATTTTCTCAGGAAGAAGAAGAGGCTGAGTCATGGCAGGGGAGGCCAACAGGGCTTTGTTCACTTGCTTCAAGGCTTTGGAAAAGTACACGGAAGTGCTTTACTGACTTCCCCCGCTCAGGCTCTCAAAGGGGAGCTGCGGCTGCAAAGACAGCTCCAAAAGGCTGGTGACCCTGCTGCCTTGAGCCTGGATTGTGGCACTGGTTTGTAGCTTTGCACAGCAAGACTGGATGTATCCTCCGGCCCCACTTCCTCGTTCCTACAGCGCTGGTTTGAAGCTGCCCTCTCACTCTCTCCTTGGAGGTGGGCAATGCCACTGCTCGCAGTTTGATCACTGTTCATCCTCCTCCAAGCACATGGGAAATTTCCTTCCAAGAAGTCAAGCACAAAAAAAAAAAAAATCGCTGCTTCTGACCCATGAAAAGCTATACACTCTTTGGATAACATGCCTGCTCGTCTCATCCGCCCCTATCACGCCTGAACATTTAGGCTATAAGCTCTTTGGGATAGGTTTGTACAGTGCCTTGCACCATAGAACCCTGATTTGGCCTGTAGGTGCTGCTGGAAAAGAAGTGATAAGCAATGAAAGACCAACAGGCCTTTAGGGAAAGGTTGCAGAAGCAGCCCTTTCTCCACTGAATGCCGCCAATACCGCACTTAAAACCCGCAGGCTGCTTGAGATGCGTACGTACATCCTCGCGAGCAGCACTCAGCCTACTTTTTCCTAACGAGCACAGCGCAGGTGGGATTAAGCTGCAAGAGCAGAGCACTGGGTTCTGACTCTGCCTTGCTTCGTGACCTTAAGAGATTCATTTAACATGCGACTTGCAAAACAGGCAGCAGCCAGGGCTTCAATAATACATAAAGCAAGTGGCACTACCAGGTGTTACAACAGCCTTGAGTTTATATAAGGGCTATTCATGAAAGCAAGGGTGTTCTGGAGCAATATACTTTGTACTCAGCACCCCCATATTCCTTCTCTTCCCCAACGTTGGCTCAAAGGAAGGGGAAAAAAAAGTCAGCTTCAGGCTGGTCATCACGGGGGGACAAAACATCTCTTCTCGCTCTCTGCCATGGCACTTTTACCAGCCCCTAGCTGCCAACACATCTGAGTGCTCCATCTTTTGCTCACGTGCCTCTGCAGTGCTGCTATCCTTGTTTTACTGCTGGAGAGAGAGGTAGTTAGCCATGTTAGTCTGCAGCGAGTCAGAAAGCAGGGTAGATACGCACCTTTATAAACTAACTAAATAAGATTTGATACATAGAGAGCACAAGCTTTCATGAACCCTAGCTGACTTCATCAGACATTGACAGGGAACAGTTGTTCTCCATCCTTTAAAGAAATAAAGGCAGGCTTTATGCCCTGAAAGTACAGTAAAAAGATGAAGGAACTAGGTTTAACTCAGGTGAGCGGCCCAGGTTCAAGCCAGTGCGACTATCTTATGCAGAGCCTCAAAAGCCACAGAATGCGACAGGATCCACAATGCTTTGCCTTCCCTGCAATTTGGGATCAGTCACCCAAGATCACACAGGATGGAGAAGCCTCACAAACACCAAGCCAGTCCCTTAAGCACCAAATCATTTTTCTTTGACCTTCGATGCTGCTTTCTTGCCCCCTGACCCCTACCCTGATGGTGCAGATGCTTTCAAATGTTCACCAATCCAGACATGCTGATCCAATGCTACCATCAGGAGGAGGCCAGGTGAGTAAATATGAAAAAAAAAAAAGTAGGTTATCAGCCCCTCCCTAAGAGCTGAACACAGGCCCTTTCTCCAGCCTTTCCAGCATGCTGTTGAACTGCAACTTGATGGAGAGAGACATCCCATTTCATTAAAGATTTCAAACTGTCTCTCTTTGGAACATCTTCGCCATTGGAGGAAGAGTATTTCAGGGTCTGCATTCACGTGAGTCCCAAACAAGGGATTTCCCTTCCAAAGAAATGAGATTTGGCAGGTCTGCATTAGCAGGTTTCATCACCATCGCCCATTGTTTGGGAACCACCTAGATCAGCGCTGCCTGTTACAAGTTCCCTTTAAAAAGGCAAAGATGGTGGTAATGCAATTAAGAATGTTATAATCCCTCCAGCCCTGTCATAATGTAAACCTTATTGCAGACAGAATGTGTCTTGTCATTTTTAATCTTATTGCATCGATTTCCTGTAGTCCCTTAATCTCCCAGCAATCCGCGCACGCTAAGATTTTTCTGGGTGCCTTTGGACATAGAAACTCCTTCCCTTACATAGATGAGATGGCACTGTAATGTTGCTGAAACATCTTTAAAGAGGCAAGATTATATAAGAAATAATTAAACCAAATAAAAAGTCAGGGAGAACTAATACAATAATCACAGCACTGCGTCTTTACCAACATATTCTCACAGTAGGGTACCCCCAAGCAAGTAGCAAGAACATATTCCAGTCATTAAAATATTTTCAAATTAATTTAGCTTTAATTACAACCATCTCAAAGCAAGCATTTGCTGGACCAGACAAAATGAGCTACTTTAATCTCTGGCGTTTTAAAATGTTTTCCTTTACCATTGCACAAGCAACCTTATTGCTGATGGGAAGTGCTGAATGAACAGTCCTGGGAACAGAAGCCTTACTGCAAAAGTGTTGCAGCTTGGGTAGAAAGCGTGACCCTCCACAGCTGGCCTTCCAGCAGGCTTCAGTCTTGATCTGCATTACTGCTGCGTATGGACCAAGAACATGGGCTCCATGGCCTCACTCAGGTCTTTAATATCCAAGTCAAGATGCCAAAGAGGGTGGTTTTGGCAATGGGGACATCTGCCTTCCAAGAACTGGAAGGAGATGCGCCGGTTCATCACAAACACCTTTTGGATGACAACTTCTGCTCACCCATGATACAGGTTGCAGTTGCATCCTTTTGTGAAAGAAACACATCTTGCATTTAAGCTTTCCTCACTAACTCACTGCAACTCTTCAAGCCTTTCATAGGCATTTTCATGGTCCCCCCCCCCATACTTGCACAGATCTGCCTCAAATCTTCTGGGATGTACATGACCCACTACAAGCTAGCCTGCAGGTTTCTAAATATAATCAAATCTAAGTTTAGACGCCACCGTCAGTTTAACTTCTCTGCCAGTTCTAGCAAAAAGGACTTGCGTCAGACCTCTATTTTACCCTGGATCAATCTGAAATTGCCATATTTTAAAAAAGCCACCCCTCAGAAAGAATAAATCAGGTTTTGGAAAGCTGTAGACAGAAGACTTAAAAACAAGCCTCTGCACAGCACTGTATTCACATCCCAATACTTCTGTGTCTCTAGTATTACTAGAAGTTTTTCACAGCCAGCAAAAAAAAAAAAAATCCTTTGAATTTACACTCATACCCATGCAGCTAATTAAAAAAAATGCTATTAAGAAGGACAGTCAGAGCCAGCACACCAAATGCCGGAGGGGATGGTTTAATAGACTAAAGCAGTAAGTTCGAAGTGCTGAGGCTCTCTGGAGTCAGCAGCTCCTTTCCCACTAGGGCTGACTCAGTTCTTCAGCTGAAGTTAGAACCACCAAGGTCTGGGCACAACCCTGTATGCATCTTTTGGATAACACCTTCAAAGCCTCCAAGGTCTGCTCTGCTTAGACATGAAAACCATTGTAGTCCTTTCCGGTGCCCTTTGCTTGAACATGCCCCGTTTATTTTTCCTCTAGTTGCCTGCTTCCGAGCCAGTCACACGCATATAATTTGTAGAACACCTTGGGATGCTTCAGGGTGAAGGGTGAAATATTAATAGCCATAAATCCACCTACCTTTGCAGTTTGCATCTTGCAGTGTGGCCCTCTCCAGTCAACCTTTTATCCCCAGATCTCGTGACCAGGCTCCTCTTGTACCTGCTCCGATAATATCATCCCACCGCTCATTGCCAAGGGCATTTCACAAGGGGAGGCAGGAAAGAACCGCAATCCATCAGTCAGGATGAGCTACACATGCCTCCAGGCATCATTTCTAACCCCTAAAGCAAGAATATCCTCACAGCACGCTGCATGACAGCTGTTAGGAGAGTCTGGTCTTGGGAGGGTTACTGGATATATGAAGTAGGATTCTGTGGTGTTAATAGGGGGCCTTATTCTGCCATAGATCTCAGTGCTCTTTAAATAGGAGTTCAAAATAATGGCTTATGAATGGGATTATATGATGTGGCTGCCTGCAACAGCAGGTGGCAAGACCAGATGAACCAGCAAGTCCCTTCAGTTTTAAAATTTCAAGAGGAAAGGGGTCTCTCTTTTATGTATATGACAAGATGCGCCAAAGCAGAGACAGGTGAAGTGGGCTTGCCAGAGGTCTCTCTGAGGCAAGAACAGCTGGAAGCAATCCTAAACCTTAGACTCCCAGATCTACAGGCAATGAATTAGGCCACAGCAAGTTTTTTGGCAGCACTTCTCTGGGGAGGAGAGTGGTATCAGCAGGAACAGTGTGGAGACATCAAGGAAACCCTCTACACAGTGCGATTGTGATTTCTGGAAGGGACTGAGCATTTCAGCCCAGCCAGCCGTAACGGTGTCCCTTTAAATCCTTTCAAACAGTAACACATCTATTGCCAAAATGATCTGATAATGGAAAAAGAGAAAGAGAGCGATGATACACAATGAGTCATCATCTTCTTCTAAGTGCGTATTTAACTCCCTTGTCTTTGGCAATGACAAAAGCTAGACTCCTGCCTGAAGCAGGGTAAGGTTGCCCCCAAGAGGTAAATCCTATACAGCAACTTTAGGCTGAAGCCGCCATACACGAGGTCTTACATTTTATTTCCTTTGGAGAATACAGAAAAGCAGAATGGGTTACATTAAGTGTTTTTCTACCACTTGTTGTCTAAGAACATAAGACCCCTCAGAATTCAAATAAAACTAGAAATGTCAAGCACATCAGCATATCTCAAGTTATGCTGAAGCATTTGATCCCGTCATAACCTTGCTCCCAGGGACATCTAAAGGCAATATGCTGCTGAAAGTGGCACGGATGCTGCCAAGTCACAACTGGCTCACTGCAGAGGTCATCCTCTGAATGGGATTTAAAAGAAAAAAAGGTCTCGAGCAGTGATGGTCAGTGGGAGAAGGCTGCAATTTGCCTTGGACACTTCCTACCTAGTAAGGTTTCTCTCTCTTTCAAGAGGTGGCCCACATTTGGGTTATGCAAAAGGATCTGTATGAGGGGTGCTCAACCACTAGAAAATTTGGTGGCTGAGGAATGGTGGCCCCGCTCCCCTGCTACCAATTTTCCAGCCCTGTGGCTGCACAGCATGGATCCTGATGTGCAGGGCCCGATTCAGCCCACAGGTCAGCACCACACCACTCATTCAGCCCACAGAGCACCACTGAGCTATACTTTACCTGCTCCAAAGCCATCTCTCTCAAAAAAGCAGAGACAACAGAACTACCCAAACTGGGGTGTAAGCAGGACATAAAGAGCCAAGGCACACCTGCACTTTTTGCAACGATGGGCTTTATAACAGGCCACGTTTTCCTCATTTGGGACAGCACTTTCAGTAGTACGTAACCCTGTTCAGTTTGGGGTTAAGGGAGGAGTGAGGGGGGAGACGTGTACCACCCACTGGAAATCAAAAACTTTGCTACACGTTGCAGCATGCCAGGTTTTAAACAGCCCTTCTTGAGTCGAAACTAAAAGCGTATCGCCTGGAGCCACTGCCTTTTTCCCTGCCAAACAGTTAGTTCTGACATCATTAGCTGGATCAAACAGCTGGGCAGGCTGACTTACGCCCCAGGTTGGGAGAAGAGGAGAAAGGTGGGAGGGAATAAAAATCTAGAGGCCCTGAGAGAGGATCAGGGTAGGAACAGCCACCTAGAAGGAAGCACACAGCATGCTCTGTGAAGCTTACAAAGCAAAATGCTGAAGCCCAAATACTGAAAAAAGTAGTTTATTATACAAGGGGGAAACCTTAAAAAAAATGTACAAAGCATCAAAATCAACCCGACAGACATTTTCTTCCCCACAGCTTGTGTAAGAGTTTTCAGTGCTGAGACCAACACACTTGAAGAAAGGCAGCGCTGCTTGAAAAGTAGCTCACTGCTATGAACACGACGACTGACACTGCTGCTACCAAGGGCAGCACGGGAAAGCTAATCCTTTTATCCATCCCCTGCATCTCAAAAGCAGCTGGACTGCTCACTCATAGCTGCTAGCTCTTTTCTTCCAACCAGCACTCGGTAGACAAGATAAGAGTTGGATTTTCCTGCCACTGACCCATGGAGTGCAGAAGTCCCATGTACTATTTCTAAGCATGCCCTTTTCATTAAACAAGTCCAATTCCAAGTGCCCTTGCCCTGCGTCTTGCTCAGCCAGGCATATTTGAAACCTGCGGTGAAAGACATCCTCCCGAAGATTGGGGAAGCAGCCACATTTATTCTTCTGGCTTTCTCAGCAGCATTTAAAATAGCACTAGCGTGCATGCAAGCAGCTGCCAGGGTGAATGAACACACAATGGGAGGCCCTGGGCCTATATTCCCAGTCATTATGGATAACCAACCATTCCATCACAGCTGCAACAGAGTCCAACAAGACTCCATACCCCCAGCCCCCACTCATTTTTTCATGATGTTATTTGATACGAGCTGTGCAGAGCACCAGAAGGAAATGGAGATGAAGTGACTGCAGTTGAACATAGAAGAAAACAATTTTTTTTTTTTTTTAAAAGATCAGAGTATCAAACTGTAGCATAAAAATCATATAAAACCACCCCCCCAACAGACAACATTTTCTGCCATACAGCTTGCCTAGACAAAGCATGTCAAGCAGATGGTTTTCAGGGTGAAGACTAAGATAATACCAGGTAACAGTTGTGAACAAGCACCATCTTTAATAGTGATGACCCAGCCTGAGACCTTTTGATGCAAGGTAACACTACCAGCTCTCGTTTTATAGCTTTCCAGCTATTTTTATCCACCAGAACACTACCGAGTGCCCCTGCCATGGTGGCAGAACATAAATTTGTGACCAACCAGATGAAGATAACCTCATCTTACCAGGCTCACATCTGGCACCAGCAACCCAGGCTCTAAATTATGCGTGAAAGTCCAAAAGACACCCAACCTGGAAGACCCTCAAGCAAACACCACACACACAAGCCTCAGGGCTTAAAACAGTAAGGGACTCTTGAAGCTGCAGTCTAATGGAGACAGAAGAGAATTCACATTAAAACGCAAAAGCCTTACCAAGAAACACACTAACCTGTGCACACAACTCTCTTCCTGGGAGAGGACAAGAGACAGAACAAGCCACAGGCAGCAGAAGTCAGTCATGATGCTTCAAGCACTTCTGGAAGGCACAAAGATTCCTCGTTGATGACAGCAGTAAGGGACTCCATGGATTAAAAATACCTGGATAGGCGAGTTCTTTACTACGTGTACAGAAGGGCTCACTTCCACAACCTAATGACTGTGCAGCGCTCTTGCCAGAAGTGTCACCAATAAGCAGCAGATCCCTGAGGGTCCAATTCCCCTGCACCTTCCAAAGATCATCTGAGCTCATTCATGCTTTATAAACCTCAGTAACTTTCCATAACAGTCACCATGGGTTGGATTTTCAGGAGTGCCGACTGAGCATACGTCCCAGTGAAAGCCAATAGGACCTGCAGCTGTAAAAATCATTTAGGTGTTTCTAAAAAACCCAGTTCCATTATCCAATTTCAAAAGCTGGGCAGTATTAAGTGATGGATGCACAAGGGTTTGTCATCGCTGTGCAAAGAGGTTTAAAAATAGAATTTAACTGACCTATTTTTATGAACTATACAAAAGACTCATCAGAAAAATAGTTGCAAAGAGAAGCATAAGTGTATTTTTTTTTGTAGTTGCCCTTTAATTTTAAGTGCACCTAATTACCCATGAAATTAAATTAAGTGGATCTCAAGGAAGCCAGCATAATATTGAAAGATAAACCTCAGTGCAAAATGCTTAGTCAAGGACAAGAGAAGTCACGTGACATTAATCTGCAATTAGGTTTTTCTAGATGAGCATTAAAATCAGAGGGGCACTACAACAGTTTGGCAAAATCCAACAGCACCAGGCTCGGGTCTTTGTTGTGGTCCACTTTCAGAGACAGATGGAGGCCACTGAAGGCCGCTGCAGTGTGTTTTGGAATTACCTGACATGGCACTGAGAGGTTCTGGGAGAATCAATATCAATTAAACCAATTGTATACAAAAGTTGAAGGGGGGGGGAGGGAAGGGTAAGAGACACTTATTTAAAAAAAAAAGGACAAAATGAATTAACTGGAAAAAGTGCAGGAGTACTTGTGCTAAGTGTTACTTCAAGACATTCGCCAATTATAATAATCTAATTAACTGTGTGCATAAAAGCAACAAGCAAGCCTGCAGTAAGACAGCAAATCTGACCTGCAGCCATCTCATAAAATGAAAATTGACGCCTGCTTCTTCTATGCAGAGATTAATTAAAAGAACAGGTTTAGTTTTATTTTTCGTTAGCTCCATTAAATAAAAAGTAAATATCAAAAGTGGCTATTCAATTAGAAAATTGGCAGTTTATGTGCTTTGAACTGCAATACAAAAAGACTAGTAGTCAAAAACACACCCATTATTTCCCCAAATGTACAAGATATGCACTTTACCTTTACATAGTAAGAGAATATATACACATTAATTACAGTAAAGAATACAGTATATCCTATATTTTTTAACTTTACATAATGTTACCAAGAAAAATATAAACCTTAATAAAATTACATACAATATATTCACAACAGTAACTGACATGGAGGAACAATATATTAATTCTTCCCAGTAAGGCAGACTGCAGAGAAAGAGGGGAAGTTGCAAACTTTATATTGCCACCATAATTTTTTTGCCTTAAATAGTTCCACTAAATCAAACAAAAATATCCAAAGTAGTTTGCCCCCCTAACTCCCCAATTTCTTTTGACATGAGACAAGAAATTTATTTTTCTAAATGGTGCCATCAGCCTGAATCTTGTTTTACTAGATTCAGGCCGACTGTCCTGTGAAAGGTATATAGATGCTTTTGCTTTCTAGACTTTAATATAATTAGCACATTAACACCCAAAATGGAGGATAAGAACTAGCAATTTAAAAAACAATTTAACAGCAAGGTTCAAATGTGAATAAATCAGGTAAGAATATTCAAGCTTATTATAAAGTCACTCTCTACCGTTCTGCTGTAGTTCCCTAAATATTTACAGTGGGGATTTTTCTTTCAGTTTAAGCCTTATTTTTTGCCTTTCATCTGTACAAGAAAATCAGAACGTGAAGTTTATCACGAGAGGCTCGCCTACGAAGGGTAATATGAAATGAATAAACTTTAAAAAAAATTAATCACACCTTGCCTTAATTAACAAGATATTATTAGGTAGTGTTTCTACCAAATCCTTCAATTTAGCAATTTATGTTAATACAGTCTGCAGATTAAATACAGCATAAGATGCAAGTGGGAAAGTTTCCTCATAGCACACAAGAAAGGGACAGCTTTTGCCCTTACATTGTTATATACACAGCTCTCAGATTTTAGCAGGAGTTTTGAGAATGTGTGTATGGGCAAAACCTGGCACTAAGAAACAGGGACAGGCATAAAATGTCTTTTATAACTACTTTTACATAGACAGATAAAAGATGATGGTGGGATGGCCAGAAGTGGAAGACAGGCAAGGTCTGCTTTTCCCAAATTTAAACTAAATTGATATCTTTAAGAGTCTAGTCATTTACAGAGAGGGGCTGAAGCCAGATTATGCAGTTAATTTGCCTTTCATGCAGAGAGATAATTACTCTCGTTGCAGCAAAACTACCTATGTAATATGGCCTTATGTAACCATTAAGTCTTCTGCGTACACACACTTCTGTCCAGGCTCTCTACAACCAGAAGAGGGGAAATGCATCTTGTCATGCTTCTCTTTAAACAGTGGAACAGGCAATACACAGTGGCTGAGCCCATTTATTTTGCTATATCAATCTGAATGGACACAGCTGCTCTGCACATCAGCCTCCAGCACTTTTCACCTGGACAGGCACAATTCCCACCTTGATCAGTTCATTCCAGACCATTAAAAGGCATCATACGACCATGCCAGGTCTGTTCTGCAGAATGGCTACAAAGCAGAGCTGCAGGCCAGACAATCTCTCAGTCCAATTCTCCCCTTCAATACAAACACATACACACAAAAAATGGAAAAAGGACAGACTTAATACTGTTTCTGAATGCTATCATTCTGTTTAAAGGGTTGCTCCCTTCTCTAGCAGTGCAACTACAATACTTATAGGTGTATACAAGGCAATAAAACAAATTGTTCTTTTCTTCTTTTAAATAAAATCTATTAAAATAGGGTTTTTTGTTTTTAGAGGTCAATGGTTTTTAGTAAGGGAAGTAAAATGAGAAAGCTTCCCTTTTGGCTTTCAACATACTAAAACATTAGAAGCCAATTCAAGACAGGCCTTGCTGAAAATTTCACACAACTTGCAAAGGGTTTCTTGGTGACAGAAGAGGCTCTTGTTCCGTTTCTTTGATTTTTTTCCTCTGACCTGGTTGATGTTTCATGAATCTGGCACCCAGAAATCATGCAGTTTCCCCTAAAGAGGAAAAAACCAAAAAAAACAAAGCAGGAAACAAATTCAAAACGACATAAAAGTTTTATTCTGCGAGATTAAAGCAGGCAAGTGGTTTGCTTCAGATGATATATGGATTTACAGATGTGGTTGCAGTATAATCTTAATTGAAAAAGCTTAACAATGAATAGCAGGCTTCTGACATGATGAGCCAAACTCATGATCTCATTTTAAATGAGCTGGAAAGTTGCAGCCACAGTTTTTATAAACTGATTTGCAGAAGCTTCTGCAACAGTGTCACCCTCTACTTTGTTTCCATTAATAGTATAGTCTTTCACACCAAAATCTCCTTCATTCCACCAATGCTGTAAATAATGGCACACATCAGCAAAATGAGGAGCCAAAGTGTTTAATTACATAGGCATCACACACTTCTCACAGATTTAAGCATTTATACATGCTTAAAACTCAATACAAGCAGCCTCTCTCAGATCACTGGATTGAGATGAACAAAAAATTCCCTCTGCAAAGGTTAGTTATATTTTATAACCTGGGGGACTACTACTTGGTATCAAGGCATTGTCCCATGATATAAAAATCTGAAAATCAATAGGATAGGCCCAAGTCTTTCTGATACCCAAGAAGTAGCTACCCAGTCTCTAGCACCAGTCAGAGCCAAGGTTTCACCCAGATACCTTACCTGTAAAGCTAAAAGCATGCTCATCTACTAAATCATTTACTGAGCTGCAATGATTTTATTTTTTAAAACATTAACATGTTCTACTTTCAAATGAACCTAACACTTTACAGAAAAACCGATTTAATAGCATTACCTGAGTAGGACGCGAGTTTTGTATCATTTCCTGCCACTTGCCATATATCCTAGCAACTAAGTCTTTCACCTGCAAATTAAAAAAACCCTACATATTAATTAATAAAAATTGAATGGTCTAGCCATGAAATGAAACAGAATCAAACATGAGATTGATTGGCAAGAAACACTTGAAGAGCTCCCTTTTAAAAACAGTTGTGTGGCAGGAGTCGAGTGAATGGCATATTAGGTCTCCATCACTTGGAACTTTTGCTGCCATATATTCCCCGCACACATACTACAGCAAGACAGTTCCATATGCAGCCAGGCACATGGGTAATGCTGGCACCCGGGACCAGCGTAACTACCTTTGCCTCCCAAACTATTTAATTTGGGGGTGTGCAGGGAGTGCCACGGAAGCCTTGTAGTTGGTGAGAGTAAGTGAGAGGATCTCACTATAGCAACCACTCTGGCCAAATAAAGTAACAACAATGATGCCATCTTAAAAAAAACATTCTTTGATTAGAAGGCCATGCTTTACAGCAACTAGTCCTGAGCATGCATTTGGTATATGCTCTTCAGAGATGAAAATTTGTCCATGTGTTATTACAGCACACAAAGTATTTCCACCTGAGAGAGCCTGCATTGTAATATTAAACTGAGTTGACATTCTGGGGCAAAGCAGTAATACAAACTTTCCCATCCCAAGGGCCATGGAGATAAGCACATGCAAAGGGTATGGATAATGCATGTTAAAGACTTATTAACTTGTTGTTGAAGTGCAGTATTAGCTGCAAATATCTAATTGAGCATCAAGTGTCAATACAAGGCTTTTTGTAAGGAAGGAATTTAGTGAATTTTAAGCTCCTGTTAAAAGAAGTGGCAAAAAAATGCAAAGGCTTGACTTGACTGAGCAGAAACAGCTCTTCAAAATTGAAGGCTGTCATGCCATCCATCCACTCTGATCCGGCTTGCTACTCCATCTTGCAAAGACAGTAAGGTCAGAGACTTGAGACCACACACTAAATGACCAAGCAAACCAAAGGGCGCTCTGCATCATCTTTTTGGTGACTTAAAGACAAAGTTATTGATTTAACTAGCTTGCTGACTTAAAATAAAAGCCATGGGAACAATGCAAAACCACCAGGTAAGCTAAGTGCATAAATTTGTCTAAGTGCTACCTGGACAGCAGAAGAGGACTACTTCCCAACCACTAGCCATGACCTTTGAGCAAAGACATTAAGCACTATCACTGGCTCCAGAGTCCCTATATACAGAGATCCTTATCCAGAAGGAAGGTAGCTGCACATCGTTTTTACAGTGCATGATTAAAGCAGTCCTGCAGATGCCAACAAGATCATTTGCACTCCATCATAATTAAGCACACGTGTAAGTTTTCACAGAACTGGGGCTTAGGTGTAAAGTCAGCACAAAAGAAAACCAGCAGAAAAAATTCAAGGCTTCCCAATCTGGGGAAGGAAACCAGAATGCAAGTCAATACACAGGCACACTTACCTTAGTTCTGTAGAACAGTCTTGCATCTTCCCTAATATCACACTTCACATGTTTATCTAGGGCACTGCAGAGCCTCAGTAAGTGTTGCTAAATACAAATAAAATGCAGGGCTGTTAAATCTATTATCCCAGAATTTCAAGTTTCAACAAACAGTAAAAACAGACAAAAAAACTGAAAGGGTTAGGAAATGACCCAATCTTGATAACAATTTTTAAAAGTCTGAAACATTTTCCCCAAAAAACATATTAGGTAGTATAACACAAACTAGAGCTAGCAGAATTCCTGGCCGTTGATGTTAGATGCTAGTGGGGCCTGGTTAAAATCGGGGCTAAACTTTTTAAAATAGCATTTCCAAAAAGGTCCTATTCAAAGCAGAGTTATAACCCTAAATCTGACCAGCTAGTTTACAAATCCTTTAGGCCCTAGAAGAGCTAACAGCAACACCATTCAGACTCATTTTTCCATGGAATACTTTAAAAGCAAGGATGACAAGCACAGGTGCCGTAAGTGGTATAGGCATCCTGAGTGGCACATGGCAGCCTAGGGAGGCAGCACTACGGCAAATAGGACCAAGATGAGAACACAGAGCACCAGACCAGACAGGCATCAGGGAGCAGGAAGCTGAGCAGCAGACTGGGTAAGGGAAAGCGACCAGAGTGGCACTTGGGGAGACTGCAAGTCTAGTTTGGGGCACTCCTGCCAAAAAGGTTAGCTCCCACTGCTCTAAAGTTACAATAATTAGAAGTACAGTTGTTCAGCAGAGGTGAGAGTCAGGTCACCACTGGGCATTTCCTCTATAGCTAGTGGTAACTCTCCTAGCAGGCAATGAAGCAGAGGGCCAGTTCCCAGGGATGAATCATTAATTCTTGAATAACAACTAGAATCTGCACTGCAGAGTTTTCAGTGAGTTGCAATATTAGGATCAGCCCAATAATGATGGGGGCTGTGTTAAGCTGTAGGCTTTATACAAGGACATCCTGTGTGTTAAAGACACAGCCAATGGCCCAGATTTGGCTGCAGAGCTTTATCATCCTGCCCACAGTGCTGCCTGTAAGCGTCAAACTGACCCTACGTGCTGCATGTAGCATGCACTGGCCCCAGCCTGGCATGCAGTCGAAGGCATGCACTGCACATAGCACGTGCACCAGATAGGCTCTGCATGCTAGATCTAGGCTTGATATGGACTGGCCCTTCAGACCATGCTCCGGGTTCAACATGCAGGACCAGTCCAGTGCAGGCACCTAAGGCAGTCCTATGTCCTGGACTAACCAGGGTATGCAGGGCTCATCTGTGGGCCCAGATGTGGCCTGCTGACTGGCCCCACACCCTTCAGCCATCTCGCAGGGCCAGGTGAGTTTGCCTAATGTTTATTCCAGCGGCATCAGATAGTCAATAGATTTATTTCATTTAAAGAGCAGAGGAGAGAATTTTCAGTTGCATCTCTCACTAATGACACTGGAGGATGTATAGTAGAATTATATTTTTTAAAAACATCTCACACTATTTCTAGAAAGACTTTGGGAACAGATTTTTATAGAACATAAGTCGCCACCACTTCCAATGCATCTTTTACTAGCACTAAATTTTGTTGGTGGGGAAGAAGGGTCAGATTTATTTACTTAGCAGCTATGCGCAGATCCACAGAGACTCAATGGTAGACGACCTTAGAAAATTAGCACTAGAAGGGCCATCAGGAGGTCACCTAGCCCCTGGCTCAAGGCAGGATGATCCCTAATGAAACCACCCTATGCTAGCATTTGTCCAATCTGCACTTCACTTCCAAGAAAGTTAATGTTGCAGAATTTCCATTCTTGCGATAAGCAATTAAATTCACTGTGGCGAAATACTGAAAGGTCGGATGACTAAAAGAGGAACAATCTCCTGATACTGCTTCAGTAAATGATTTCTGGCATCCTAGGTTACTCACAAGAGCTGCAACATTAGCTTTCAGTTCGCGCACTTTGGAATTTAACTTGCTTTGTTAATAAGTTTGAAATTTACAGTGCATCAGAACATTGGACACTTTTTTTTTCCCCCTCCGAATCAAAACATGTTTACTCTCCAATGGAAAACATCTGAAATACAGTGATTTAGGGGAAAAAAGCTCCAGGGTGTACTCTTTCAGTCACTTCCAAGGACAGACCAAAATAACAAAGCCTCACCAAGGTCCTTCAACGCTATTCTACATAATTTTTTTTAAAAGACTTTTTGGTTTGGGTTCTATTTAGGAAGAGAGAATCAACATTTTGAAGCTATACAAGTCAACATAAAAAGGAAGTTGCCTTCCCTTGACCAGCTCTAACTGATACTATATCACGAATGAGACACTTTGCTAGTACGGAATTATGAGTTGAACAGTTTTCCTCCATAAATAGCCATCATTTGAACCAGTAACTTACCCTCCGATTAGAATTCAGAACATCAAAGCAACAAACTTCACTGACCAAGTGAAGAAGAACGTAGGTCAGATAGTAAGCCTAAAAAAGCAGCCAAAAATTATTTATTACGAGTTTGAACTTGAGTCTCAGCAGTTAGGTGTAGGCACAAATGCTCTCATTTAATTACTACAGCTAGATACACTGGATACATGCAATGGGCACACTATTTTTCTATCATCCAGCCTCAAATCGAAACACATTCTGAAAGACTCTCAAGCAACAGCAGTTTCCATGGTACCAATACAAGCACAGTATGAAATTATGAGGGCAGAACTTTTGGATAAGGTGGAACACTCAGTATTAATAAGGGCATCTTCCTTAGGCTGAGAAAAAGTTAATGAAAATATTTCTTTTTGAAATCTGAGAGGAAGGATGGTTTTGTGGTTAAGGCACTTAATTGGGAAACAGGAAACTGAGTCCAATTCCTGCCCCTGCTTCAGGACTCTTTGTGACTGCAGAAAGGTCATGTAACATACACATCCAAATCCCACCTTCAAATAGAGGAATATAAACATTTCCTTTCACGAACACACCCTTGGGGCACGGTGCACCTAACTGCACACAAAGTATTTCACATGTGCATTAGGGCCACAATCTCAGATGGATAATACAACATAACATTTCAGTTAACCTAGCTGGATGGTAGAACACTAAAGTGCTGTCAGACATGGTATGCAGAGATTGCTCCAGGCACTGAATGGCAGTAGAACATGTTCTCCCTCTCCTTCTCCCTCACACACTGCAAATAATTAGCTTCACACACACACACACACACACACACACACACGTCCCCCCCCCAATAATTAGCTTCAAATACCTGCTGCTCTAGCTCTGTCTGAAGGTATTCTCCACCGAGGTCAGCCGGCTGGTCCATTCTTTCTTCTAACTTCTTTTTTAATATACTAGAAGGCTTTATGTATGCCAGATACTGACACAGGAGAGAGAGCTATATAAAAGCCAAGCAAAAAAGATTTTAGAAGTTGGTACCACCTCAATTGCAAAATTCAACACAAACTACCACTAAAAAAATATTTTGCTCACTGAGAAGAACTCAATATCTAAGAGCATGGCTTTTAAAATGAAGGCGGCAGCTTTCATACTGAAGTTTAATTATTCACAAGCTACCAAATTATTATGCATTGCATTATTAAACCAATACCGAATACAACCAAAAGCTGACAAAGGCAATTTGAAGCAGGGGAAAACTGCATGTGGAAACAGATCCAACGTGCGGAGTTAAGTTTGCTGTCCTCAGGTTAGGGCAGAATGGAGTGCGTCTGGTTTGCCTCATGCTTCTGAGCTTTGCTGGTTGCCACATGGGACCATGAAAGAATTTCTTCCCCTCCTATTGCTACAGGTGCCATGGTTTGGGGGGGGGGATGATATCCCCCTCACCAACCTCCACCCCACTTTCTCAGAGGCATTGGGTGCTGGCTGCAGCCCAGACGGGATTGAGACTGGGCTGCATCAGTGGTCTTGCTGGGAATCCAACTCAGAGGTTCCTGACTAAATGATCTTGCCCCTCTGCTCATGGTGGAACCAATTGCCATGTTGGGGTGAAGAAATTTTACCCTATGGTAAGGGGTAGGGGTTTTGCCTTCATCTGTAGCGGGGGACGGGGCATTCTTTATTTGGATCTCTCGAGTGCATTTTAACAACCCTTGCAGCAGGGCACTGACAGCCCTCATCCCCTGCTTTACCTGTGGCAAGTTCAGATGCTTCTGGTGTCTTTGGGTAGTAACCTTGTTGCTCAACTATAAGACCATATTGTCTTGTTTTTGGAATAGGTCAGACGAGGACTGGTGTAGGTTGGTTTAGGCAAGGATGATCTTGCCTTGAGCAGGGGTTAGACTAGATTACCTCCAGATGCCCTTTCTAGCTCTACTTTTCTATGATTCTATGAACCAAAACATGTATTACAAAATAAACCACCAATAAGCTCTGAAACAATCAAAGGAACTGAAGACCTGTATGTATAGAACTATAAATTTATTTTGTCAACAACGTTTTAGAAATAACTGTCATCTTGCAGAGCTGCTGAATAACAAATACCAGCTTCACAGAATTAAGATGTGAAGCAGAACAAGATTAGTTGCCAACAGTCAAAATGCAAAAGTGAACTTATTATGTTGCCCTTCAATTTCAAACAACCCTTTCCTTCTATAAGCACTTAAAACTCTAAAGCAAACTGCACAATCTTTCTTTTTTAAATTAAGTTCAGTGCACGGTACCTGCTGGTCACTGGTGGCTGGTATTCTTGTATTCTTTTGATTAAGAAATTTTGAAATGATCACGAGGCTAAGGCATCTTCTTACTTGTCTGAAAAACATACATCTTCTGATAAGTCCTTTTTATGATGCATTTGAGGCAAAGTATTACTGCCTGTGTGCTTTAAGCAGGTCAGTCTAGTTTACTAAGTGAAAGTAAAAGAAACAAAACCAGGAAGTGGGTAAACATTTAGGAGGAGCAGCTCTCGCCTTGCTGCACTCTCTCATGCACGTGTTTATCAGGTGCTTGGTCTCTAAGTCCAGAGAGAAGGCACATAGGGTACCTCTCCATGAAAGGTTGTGCTTACTTCTGTTTAGGTGGAGCTGTGATGGTCCAGGAAACGTTTTGTTCAGTCAGGGTTTTTTTTAAAAGGGGCCTGATGTAGGATATTTAGTGCCCAAAACTCATCTAACATTTCTCTCATCTATAAAGTGGGTCCAATAAAACACACCACCAAAAAACTTTTGCTTTCCAATTACTTCTCTTATATTGGGGTACTCAACTCCTTGCCCACAGCCCAGATTTAGGCACCAGAGCCATGTTATCTGGCTCATGGGGCTCCACAGAGGTCTGAAAATGTGGTGGCAGAGTAGCAGTGACAGTGTTAATTGTTGCCCCCTGCTGCCAAATTCTGGACCCATAGGGAGCCCTGTGGGCCAGACAGCACAGCCATGAACCCAACTTCAGACACGGAGGGCCTGATACTGCACCATTTATTTGGCCTGTGGGGCCAAAAGGTTGAGCACCACTGTTCTCTAGTGCTATCAGTCTATAACCATGTGAGAGATTTAAGAAAACTTGACACTATTACTCACATCAGCACTCAGACATGAGAGAAAAGGAAAGGTGAAGCTGAAATAGTCATGCCCTTGGCTGTGTTTCAATCTTATGTACTATCCGACATAAGCTAAACACATGAATAAGGACTTACTTTTCACAGGTTTAATCATAACAAATAATTCTATATACACAATACAACCTGTATTGTAAAACTGACCTTTTTCTACCTTCAAAACAACCACAGTCGCATGACAGTTTAAGCAAGGTGGACCCATGCACTGGGCCCTCAATAATAGACCACAATTGTGGTTTAATGCCCTCTTTGCACTTGCCCCTCAGAAGCAGCGTGAAAAGCAGCAAACTATATGCCACTGAAGTTACCATAGAAAAGCTCAAAATTATATGACTGGGAAACCAGGAAAGGTCACCAGGACAAAAGAGCATAGTTAGACAACTTGACAACCAGTGGCACCACGGACCCAAGGCATAACATGTTTGTCTTTGTGAAACTACAGAGAAGGATGAGGCGAGCAGGAGTGATATTAGCTTTTTTTAGTTGATGGCACAAAATTCTCTCTTTTCCTTATTTTTTTTCCTATTAAACACAATGTAAAGTGGCTGATATATTTGGGAGGGGAAAAAAGTGAACATAACCTGGGAATGACTTACAATTGGAACAATATGGTAAATTGTATCTGTGCATATTTGGGGATGATACATCTATCACACTTTGAGCCCTCTTGGTAGAAATATATTATATGCACCTTAACTACAAGGCACACTTTCAAATGTTAGTGTATTACCTTCCACGTGTTACCCAGCTAGGGACCAGCTGAACCAACCACAGGAGGTCATGGTGGTGACTAGAAAGGTCGCTCATTGCCAGGCACAGTTCAGACATCTTACAAAGAAAAAAAAAAAAAAAGGGATAAATGATATTACAACAGACAGCTGTTACATGTATGAAAGACATCAAAAAAGATCATATAAGCCCAAAAGTTAAGGTGCATAACTTCCCTGGAAATGCATGCAGTTTAATAATAGGAACATGTCCTTAATGATAGTTTCTGCATTGCACTTGAAATATTCATACCGGATTGGTACAAGTTATATTCACCACAGTAAGACAGTCATTACAGTCCATGTTTGTAGGTCAAGAAGCTGGCTTACCAGCTACTTTCAAAGTACAATCTTTGCTTCACTCTTGCAAGCAGATTTTTCCAATTTATGATAGTTCTGCCAAGCATCAGATACTTGGCAATACCATGCACTCAAAACAAGATAGAGGATTATAGTAGCAAGGAAACAACAACATCTAGATATACCCTGCAGCCCCTGCCATTACTGTATGACATCATGAAGAGTTTCAATGCCTTAGGGCACAGGTTTTCCTGCAGAGTATTTCCCAGCACTGTTTCGGGGATTTTTTGTTTGTTTCTTTAAGTGTAAGAGAGAGATTCCTCCTCCTCCCAAGTCAAAATTACAAAACAGGAAAGAACATAATGTAGTTATGGAGTTACCTTGGCATCCCAGTCTCTTATACTTTTCAGCAGTTTTATCAGAAGGCACTGAAGGTCTATTAACGGAATTTGCTTCAATAGTTTTTCCAGGCTTATTTTGAACAGCAGTAACAGCAGTAGCAATAATTCTTGGTCTGTATAGACATCCTGATATATAGTTGTACAAAAAACTAAAAACTAAAGAGAGTATTTAAAACTGTAATAAATGACTTTTTTAAAAAATATTTTAGCAATTAAAGTTTGACAATGTTTATATCAAAGTCCATGATTTTTAGTATCCAGTAGATTTATGAAGTGAAGTTCATAGGCTTGTCTATGAAAGGTGTTTTGTGAGTATCAGAACTGGGAGATTGGAGAGGGAGCGATTGTCTTGGGAGAAGCAGGCCCCCCACATGTAACTGGATATTTTTGTCTTTGATGGATATTCAGTGTGTACTCATCATTTGGCTTCTCCAACATATTTTCCATCAGGGCATTTGGTGCACAGGAGGAGATGCATTACATTTCTGGAGATGCAGAAATGGGCAAGTTAAGCCCCTGGGTGCCAACTGCATCAACACCTTCCCTTGCAGCACTGACTATTCCCAGCTATTGGCAACTGTTGGCGCAAAGTGCAACCGTTACCAGTTACGCCTCTGAACCCAACTGAGTTTTTGGTCATGACCTGGGCCTGTACCTTCTGTAACATACACTGTTGTGGCAGCAGCTGCAGCACAAGTAGCATCCCAACAAAGCACTCACACAGGCCCTCCTATTTTAGGCAATCCAACAGCATACAGTCCAAGAGATTTTTCAGGCATTACCATGCAGGATACTCTCAATTTACCCTGTTCTGATAAATACATTTGTACTCTTTAACCCTCAGCCTCAGATACATATATTATCCTTGGTATCCTTAACAACGTTAGTTTAAGTATTTCTTGTTAACATGCAGTACACTCAAGGACCTATAGTTTTCTCTATGTAAATGGTAGGTCACAGGAACTAAAGTATTTCTACAATACAGCTTTGGAGTCAATTTTAAAATGAGGCATTTCCATTTGAAAAAAATTATACCCCAAAAGCAGCTTGTCAAGAGAGATTCCCCTCTCAGGATCGAAGTATCCTACTTGCAAGATGTAAACAATAATGCACTGAGATGCAGGACATTCTTAAAAAAGAAGAAAAAAAAAAAGGAAAAGAAAACCTAAAGTCTTACCTTGATTACATTAATTAGATTGGTTTCTGGCAGACAAGAGAAAGCTGGACCTGAAGAGATGTTTCCACTTGCTGGTTTCATCACTAACATTTGCATTTTGGATCTATTAAGAAAGCATTAAAGTGAGCTACAAATTTAAAAAGAATTACTCCTGAAATCTTGGATTAGTACAAAAAAAGTCTCACTTATCAGACATCTTCCAAAACAGCCTCAGAGTTAAGATGACTATAAAAGTGCTTTAAACATCAGTTTATTTACAATTCCTATCCAACTGTTAAGTTATTCTTCCTGCAAAATTAAAGTAAATGTTACAGTAAAAAGAGCCAAAGACAGATAAATGTTTGACAGGCTGAAGGGTTTAACAGGCTCAAGTGGATCTGAAGTTATCCTTTCTATTTACTGTATAGTCAAGAGCCAGGCTGCCTTACTATGTTTAAAACCCAAAAGGAAAATAAAACACACTTACAAAATATCACCTTCACTGAAGTTGGGCTGAAGATGTTTCAGAGGAAAGAGAGTGCCAAAGTGAACTCCCATATTGATCAACACAGCCGATACATCAGACAGGGAGGGAACCCAGGGTCTAAAATGTTCAGCACCAGTAGAAGCTGTAGAGTGTAGAACACATAAGACACAAATTTAAAAATCAACTGGTTGTGAAATTGAAAAAGGAAAAGAATGTGCTCAATGGCCCCCTGTGCTAAGCTCTACTGCCATGAGAGTCTTTGGTATCACCATAGGGGTTGATTTTCCTCAGAAGCACAACTAGCGTAGAACCAGAAAACATACCTAGTAACCATATGGGATGTTTGAAGAAGCAACTAAGCTAAAAGGGAA